CTTTTAAAAATTGATGTTCGTGAACGACTATACAACAGTATGAAAATAAAATGTCTGTAACTATTTTAATTTAAACTCATTAAAATATCTATTTAATTTCCCTTATATACATTTACAACTACATGTAAAATAGCAATAGCTCGTAAATTACGTTTGAAAATCATCATTTCCTGTAATATACAGACACGTTTTGGAGTGAAAAGAGGGGAGACATTTATTTCTATCTAAAAAATATATTGTTTAATTATATTAATAATTCGAAACAATAAATTATACACCAATTCTATCCTGATGATTTAGCTAAAAATTACCTTCTCTTCTTTGAGTAATTTAGACAAATGTACTCTCACGAGTGAATCGAGTCACGAGTGAGCTCAACGTGTTAACTGACTTACATAACTCGTAAAAAAAAGTCTGTCGAATGAAGCTGGTATCTACACGCCATTATTCTGCATGCCGCGAAGAGGGCTCTCGGAGCAAAAAGAAGTAAATGGGATGCTCATTATCGGAGTAATGCGGCAAACAAACGCGCCAAGGCCCAGCGCACGGCGAGCCGGGGCGCTACCCCACCTCCATCGCCCGCGTTCGCTCTCATGGCCCCTTTCTCTGTTTACACTCTGGCGCTCCCCAGGGTCCTCTCTGACAGTTTATTCGACTACTCTATCAAAACAAAGTTGTTTAACGTGCTCTTTTTTTCACGTCGCGCTCTCAAATTTGCGTCTCCCAGTCTGTGCCTCTTCTATGGTTCGCTCGTTATTTTGCGGATGCATACGCGTAGATTTATATCGGTTTTGATATGGAAGTTCGTCATGGCTGCCTCCTAGTATTACGGTTTTCTATTTTTTTATGATCGTTATTGCATTTAAGAAAAGCTTGCTTTGGAAATTTTTAGATTCATGGTAAACTTCGCAGTCGATTTATAACGGTTTTTTGACAGTCATTACTATAGAGTTTATTTTTCTCGTTAATTTTCTCTCAATACTTTTTTAATTTATTTAATACTATAAAGTTTGTTTAATTTTTTTCAAACCATTTTTCTCCTATCAATATCATCTTTCTACATTTTCCGCTATCCCTCTCTTGCTCTCCTTTCCTTTCGTCTTTCTTTCCATCTTCCCCTCCCACTATTTCCTGTCTAATGCAAGCACTTTATTCTCTAGGTTCCCTTAAGCACTCTTTCTCACTGGTTCGGTCGTTTCATAACCTATTCTCCCATTCATACCCTCGTTTCTGGACTAGTTCCCCATTACTCTCCACGTTCCCTTTTCCGCCCCTCTCCTCGGCGCCCCCCTCGTCAGCCCCTCATCGACGCTCCCCAGCGCCAATTTCAAAAATTGAATTTCACAATCACGTCGGCCGGGGCGGCGGGCGGGGCGGCGCCCGCCGAGTGGTTAACTGTTGCCCTACGGGAGCCCTTGCACGGGAAATTGATCCCGGCGCATAGGGCTTCGTTAGAGCACGGGCCGGGCCGGGCCGGGCCGGGGGCGCCGCTGGAAATGAGAGGCGAGATTTTTCCTACCCCGCGGGCGGTGGGGAGGGTGAGGGTAGGTGAGAGCGAGAAGAGTGGGGATGAGGGTGCTGGCGCAGCTAGCGAGGGGATCTTTCTAAGAGGGGAAATTGGACGCATGTGGCACAGTAAAAGACGCGTCGCCCTTTCAGGCTGTAGCGATGGCGGTGGTGGTGGGAGAGTGGAGGGTGAGAGTGGGGCGGGGAGCGGCCGCCTGCAAGAGAGCGCTGGAGGGGGTGCAGGAGGGGGTGAGGGAAGGGGGAGCGAGGACGAGGGCATTTCCATTCAGGCGATATTTTCGAGTAATTTGAGAGGTGGGCGGGATACGTTAGATGTGACGGTGAGGACTTCTTTCAGCGACGTTCAACCTTTTTCAATCCCCATGAGGGTGCTCTTTCTAACACGCCTCCTTCCGATAGGGCAACTTCTCGTTTTGCTTTCTTCGTTTTCCGTTTGCTGGTTATCTATCCATGCAGGTTCCTTACAGGTTCACTCACTCATAGACGCGGTTTGTTCACATCTTACCTCAAATATTCGTTTTTCTTTCCTTCATCGGCGGTCACATTCCGCACTCTTTCTAATTTAAAGGCACAGTGAATAAGTTTTACTTATCTATTTTTTTAAATCGTATTCCAATAAATAAACTTTACTTTACTTTCTGCTTAACGTTCATTATAATTGCGCGTTTCTATGTAGCTGTAGCCATTCACATCTCAGCACTTTCTCTATGACACAAGAATGTGTCTCGATGAAAATCCAGTACATTTCAAAATAACTTTTTTTAAAATATTCTAGATCAAATCAAGTATTACACTAGTAAAAGAGTTGATTGTAACATAAAAAGCAATATTTTGTTAAGTACCAAACCTGTTAATTCACATATTTTACGTTCTTGTTGTGAATTTACCATACATACGCGTCATATGATGTTTTGGCGAAATTATTTCATCTGCACATTCCCTCTACCGTCGCTTCACTATACATCTCTCGAACTGGGATCGCATTACCTCACACCAACCCTCATTTCCACACCTACTTCTCCATTGAGACCCGTCCCATCCACCACTTCGTCCCCTTCTCCTCTCCCCGTTCCCACCGCTCCCTATCTCCCTACCCACTGGCACAGCCGAGCGTCGCGACGCGTCGCGGCGCCCGTCCTCGACGCGTCGAGCTCTCTCAACGCGAAATCGCTGATCGCGCAGTAGGCGCGCCGATTCAGCTCTCGCCCTCCCACCCCCCTCACTCCTCCCCCCCGAAAGCCGAAAATGCTCTTTGCCGCGCAAGTTAGAGGGAGAACTCTTTTCAGCAAATGATAGGCACCGCGGGGCTGTTTCCCGTCATTAATCAACACAATGAAAAGAAGAGGAGGACAGGGTGGCGGGCTAATGCGGATTACTGTCACATACAAAAGGAAACCGAAAGCCAGAAATGAGGTTAAGGGACGATTCGGCCTCGCCTGTCGACTCTTCTGGCAGCTCTAATTGTATAACTCACCGTCGACAGGACCTTCGCTTCGCGTGGATTGAGAACCTTTCCGACCTGTGTGGTGCGCTACCTGCTCGATGACTTGCAGCAAATTGATATCAACTCGAAAGTAAATAGTTCCTTTCCACAAATCAAACACCTGGCGATGTTCACTATAATGTGAGGTTCACGCAACACACCTTGTAGCTGCCTACAATTTTCTTTTATTAACTCTGCCAGCGCCTGCAACCACACTGTCATTTTAATAAGACATAATAGCAGCACATGCTTGCAACGAGCACGTGAGAAGTTAAAGGTTCATCGTCATTTCATCCTCTAATAGATATTTCAAAATACACAAAGGAAATATACGTTTTTTGATATACTGAAGACGCAACAACCATTAAAAATGGTTGAAAACAATTTTTTCAACATGTCATGCATTTTAAAATCGTTTTATAAATATTTATTGTTACAGTAAACCACTTTGTGGTTGTCTATTGCTAATCTTCCACGAAACTAACAAGCCGCTTACAAGAAAACCAGAAGTATTCACTTTGAACAGTGTTTATGAATCTAAAATATTTTTATGACAATTTATAATTCCGTTTCTATGGTATTTCAAACCCACAATTTGTTTTCTATTCCAATCTTTTGGATTATAATAAAATAAAGAAATAGAAGTGATATATTTTATGCTAGAATAGCAATGAATATAAAATAGAGGTTAATGGTACGAATATTAACAAAGTAATCACTCTGGAGGTACAAATGTGAGGGTGTCATTTCAAATCTTATCGACGGGGAAAGAGATAATGAGTTCCAATGCTGTGACTAGATGGTTTTCAAAAATGTCCCTACACTCTAAATGACATAACATCTAAAAGAAAAAAATACTATGCGATTTCAACGATTCATCGAATAGTAATTTTTTATATAAAGCGTCTGGAGAGAATTCTAACGGTCAGATACTCTTCTAATCGATATCTCACCATGATTTCTCCGATCTATAACAGGAGTATGACGAATCTGTACTCTAAAACACAGGCCACGGATCACTTGCTATATTTCTTCGTCATTCTTACTCCCTTCTCTCCCCTTACACTTCTATACTGTACATGTACACTTACAAGACGTTATCCCGATGGAGCGGTGCTCCTCCGGTGAGATTCCAAGAAGGGATAGAATCCTTCAGCTACAGTGGAGGTAGGCACCGGATCTTATTTACCAGCCAAGGAGGAACACCACCACCTTCCGTGTTATAACATGCACTACATTTACCTCACTAAGCTCAGTAGTCGTCGCACCTGATTTAATAATCCCTTACTCCAAAGACTCAATTTATGAACTTGCTTTTGAAGAATGAATTGGGATCTTAAAGCGAACGCGCATGCGCACATGCCGCCCCAGAAACCCCTCTGCGCATGCACGTACTCGCTATATCTCCGAAACTATTCGACAGAAGGAAACATGAAAATAGGGATTAAACCGGCTTAGGTGGCTCAGAGCATCAACTGAGGTCGCTTCATTGCCTCTGACCCGAAGGTCTTAGGATTCAAATACCGACAATGGCAGGATTTTTGATAGGGAGATTGGTGAAATTCAGCCGTTGTCTGGAGGAGAATTCTAGCGACCAGATTCTCTGATCGGTAGTTTTCCGTGATTTTTACTCCAATGCTGGAGCAATACCCTAACAAACGGGATAAGATATTTTCTGCCTCTTCCTTGTCCTATCCTAACCCCTTACTTTCACACACTTACCTCTGTGATCTTAGAGCTTGTCCCGGCTGGTGCGGTGCCAGCCTGGTGAGAGATACCTTGCTGGGAAAAAACCCGTAAGCAGACGCGTACGTCAGCGACGAATCTCATTGAGGGAAAATACACAGCCACCTCCTAAAAAAACTACACTCACGAGATTAATATCCATAACAGTTGAAGCGCCCGCCAGCACGAAATACTCAATGAAATCGAAGCTAAGGTTTCACTGCGTAATATTTGACTAAGCGTCCGTGCCCCGGCGTGCGCGCAGGTGATCAACCTGAAGCCCAGCTCCAAGTTCCACAAGAACCGCGCGTCGGCGGAGGCGGCGCGCCCCAAGGCGGGCAACTCGGCGGCGCCGGCCGCGCGCCCGCGCCCCACGCCCACGGCGCAGGGCCCGCGCATCCTCAAGACGGCGGCGCCCTCGCTGGGCCACAAGCGGCCCGCGCCCGCCCTCGGACCCCCGCCCGCCGGCTCGCCGGCACGAGGAGACGGTGAGTGGACACGAGCTTTTTTTTTGTTTTGTGCGGGTATTAGGGAAGCCGGACGTACGCTACAAAAATTGGTCGTGTTGAAAGATAATGGTCGTTCATCTGGAAGAACCCGTTGTTCCGCGACTCAAAATCGAATGTTGTATTATATATATATATAGTATATATATATATATATATATATATATATATATATACCGGAAATCTCGTGAACTATGTTTATAAAATTTTTAAAACACTTGTGTTCGCGTAACTCAAATATTAAGACTTTGGGAATGTGTCAGTTTTCATGTACACCATCGATTTCGAATTCAATTTTTTTTTTTTCAGTTTGCTCATTTGTAAGAAGTGTGTTAGAATCTTAACATACGAAACCTGAACGCAATATATTTTCACAATCATACGTCGCCGTCGGCAGACGACGAAATTCAATTATTTAACTCCAGCTATTGCAGTTAACACTAACTATTTACATTGCTTTACTTTTTCGTAAACCGAGAATTGCGAAGCTCACTGCATTTGCTGCAAGAAGCAAATCATGGGCTGAAAAACATAAAGTTAATTTTCAAAAACCTAAAGCTAAAAAAACAATCCATATAAATTATTAATTATATATGTAAATTCAATTTCATATTCAAATGGGGCTTCAATTTCAATAGCAAACATCATTCCTCATGTGTGCATTTCTCAATGATTGCTTTACACAACACAAGGCAGACGCGAGTGATTCTGACCTGTCGGTAACCGAATCTCCCACCCGCAGACCCAATCTTCCTAGCACAGCGCTCAAAGCATTGCTCCGGCGTCAATCCGCGAGTGGCTCGGGAGTCTTCTGCAGACGGGAGAGGGTGTGGTAACGCCCGCGGTGGTCCGTCGGCAGGTGGCGTTGCCGCTGGAGCAGCTGTTCGCGTCGCAGCCGACGCTGCAGCGCGCGTCGCGCCGCCCGGCGCCCGCGCCCGCCTTCTCGTCGCGCTTCCACCGCAACCGCGCGCAGGACGAGGACGCGGAGCCCGCCACGCGCAAGCCCACGCCCGCCCCCGCGCCCGCGCCCGCCCCCGCGCGCAGCGCCCGCCCGCAGCCCGCGCAGACGCTGCGCCCTTCCGCTCGCAAGAACGGGTGAGTCGCACGCCCTCTTTACTCGTGTGTGTGTGTGTGGGTGTATGCATGGACATGTAGGTGATGACGAAGCTGAAGCGAAAGAGAAGGAAAAAATAGTTACTTCGGAAGGCGAAATCAAGAAGCAATGCTGCGCTCTTCACAGTAATGGGAGAGTTAGTCTCTTCTTAGTCTTATCTGTGTGTGTGTGTGTGTGTGTACGTGTGTGCGATTGTGCGAGTGCATGCTCATGTAGACGCAAAGCTTCACCTTCATGCGAAGCTGAAGTTAGAGGGAAAGAGGAATAGTCGTTACTTCAGAAGGAGAATTAAGAAGAAATGCTAAGTCCTTCGCTGAATGCTTCCCGGCTTAAGAATGTGAGTGAGATATCTTTGCGACATGTGTGAGGGAGAGTGTGTCTGCAAGCGCACTTAGACGATGTCGTATAAAATGTAAATAAATGCGGCGCCCTTCACGAAAATGGTAGAGTGAGACTCTTCATCTATTTATGTGGGCGAAATTGGGTGTGCTTAAGGAGAACAAAGGTTCTCCCTTTAAAGGGGTAGGAAGGGATTTTTGTGTGGTTAACCATCTAGAAGGAAACATTAACAAATACTGCGTCCCTCTGCACACAAGGATATGTGAAACCCCTCGTGTATTTGTATCTACATGTTAATTTAGGCAATGTCGAGGCAGAAGCGAATTGGTGAGAATGGTTAGCTCACAAGGGAAGATGGAAAATTAGGAAACCATTCACAAGATTTGGAGAGACTCCTTCTCTGCTATCAATGTGAGTTTTTTTGTGCTCAACGGATATTGTAGCGAAAGAGATGGTGAAAGAGAAATCGTTTCGCTCAATAATTCCCTGCTAAAGGTTTTGCGACTAAGATTCCTCTTTTGCATGTGAGTGCGTATGCTCGTTTAGGCTTTGTCGTAGCAGAAGTGAAGAAAGTCTGCATTCCTTACAAGAATGGGAAAATGAGCCCTTCTTCCACTTGTGTGAATGTCTGATCATTTAGGGCGTTGTTGTGGTAGGACTGAAGGGAAATCGGGCACAAAGATTAGCACTTTAAAGGTGAAGCAAACATTTTTGTGGTCTTGATAATTCACAAGGAAAGATGAAGAAATGCTACGCCATTTACAGAAATGGGACGGTGACATTCCTCTTCCAGATGTACTTGGTGATTGGTAGATTAAAAGGTACGATGATGCTGCTCCCCTCACGTGATTAAGAATGAGTCTTGTATGTTCACATAAAATTAGTTTGGGGATTTGCAGAAGCAGAGGCAAGAGCAAATAGATCGTTCTTTCAAGGACTGGAGAGCATTGTGACGTTCGTACCTCATAAGATCAGGTGAACAAATTCTTCTCCTTTTGAAAGAACGGTTAGTGAGACTCCCATATGTACTTAGATTTGTGCATGATCTTTAGGACGATGTCTTAGCCTAAGTGAAGGAGAGTAGGAGCAAAGATTCTCTTTTAGGGTGTAGGAAGTAATGTTGTGTTTTTTTAGCTCAGAACACAAGATGAACAGATGCTGTGCTCTTCCATCTCAAGGACTGATGAAAGAAACTCCCCTTCTTGTGGGTGTAAATTTTTATTTTAGACTATGTCGTAGCAGAAGCGATCGCAAATATGGGAGAATAGTTTGCTCAGAAGGCACAACGAGAAATAGATGCAGCACCCATCACATGGATAGAAAAGCGAGACTAGACTTCTTCTTGTATATATGCGTATGTTTGTGTGTGTGTGTTTGTGTTAGAGAGCATGTTCATTAGTGGTGATGTCGAAAATTAATGGGGTTTGAATGGTTCGTACTTTTCTTAAATGGGGAGTATTGTTGCTTTCAAACCTCAGAAGGTCAGGTGGTCAAATTCTCCTCCTGTCGCAAGATCTGTTAGACTCTGCTTGTTGGAATTATGGATGCTTTTGGGGGCGATGCTGCAGCAAAAGCGAAGGCAAATGGGGGAGAATAGTTAGCTCAGAAAGTAAGATGAAGAAATGCTACGCACTTCACAAGACTGGAAGAGTGGGATTTCTCTTCAATGTGCGTACTCATTTATACTGGTGTCGAAGGGGAAGTTATTGCAAATGGGAAAGGAGATTAAATGGTTCGTGTTTTTAAGAAATGGGAAGCATAAAGCCTTTCCTAGCTCAGATTGCGAGACGAGCATATATTTTCCATACTTCCTCACACTAATTTCCTCTTTCTCCTGTTTGTAATGAGCTGACCCAAATTGAAAAATGTAACGGGTTTTTCCTTGACCTATACTATTAAAAATACGATGACTGGCGAGATGTTTAGGGCTACTGTCTTGCACGCCTTGACTCCGATACACAAACGAATGTCCCATCTCACAATCCCAGCTTTCGCTGCCATCTTAAATCACGTGCTGGCAATTCAAATCTAACCCAAAGGTCAAGTCCAGGCTTTGAATTAAGGTACATGTTGCATTCCGTTCCGAACACAGAAGCCACCTGCAGTAAACTACATGAGAAATGATACAGCACTACCTAGTAAAAACAAAGATCTTGAGTTTCAAAGCAAGGCGCACCCCGTTTTGTTCGCCCTACAAAACTGATTTACCGACGAGTCGAGACTTATGTGTCGGAGGTCTGCTCCATGCCCCACAAACGTCTGCTGTCCGGCATAACACACAAAGCGAGTAATGAGAGTCGGCGAAATACTTCCTGCCCTGCTCGATTACTCACTCGGCGCGCACGGATGCCAACCTCCAGGGGAGCGCACGCGATTGGCTGGCGGCCGCCTGCGAACGGCGCTCGCGGCCTTGAGCGCCGTCCACCAATGCCGCACACGCGGATGCCGCCTCCGCCGCCGCCGCCGCCGCCATTGTGCGCGTGGGTCCTTCGGCGCTCGGCGAATCGGCGATTGGGACTGGAGGTTCAGCTGGTGTTCCTCAAGGTCTTCTGCTGGGAGCGGATTGGGAGCGTCGGAGGGAGAGATAGATCTTCACACTATTGTAAGGCAATGGATTCGACAGGGGAAACACTTCCAGAAAGTTTGTCTAGTTATAGTTACTAACGTAATTAGAGCGATTGAGGAAAAATCGGGTGCGGTTGAAGTTTGAAAACTGTGGTGAAAGGCGACGTTGATAACCTATCGAGATCATGAATCCATTTCTGAAATCACCACTCTAGTTAAATACTTTTTATAATTCTTCTTTCAATCAAAAAAATATACATAAGGAATACCTTGTCTTGGAACATAGTACATATTTCTTTCGGTTGTGTTTTTAAGTGACGTCGATTATCTTTCAATCCTAATTGACGCCGACCGTTAGGAGTTCATAGTTCTCATTGCGCAAACTCAATATAAGATAACAGTATAACGAAACATAAATATGTCATTGCAGACGATTGACCACAAATATTCAACATGTTCATTGTAAATTTTTCCTACAGTTCTTTCTGTGTCGTATGTTTGCGATATTTACATCATTTTCAAATGATTTCGAACAAATGTAGATGTACTAGTTGATTTTCGAACCTCGACTCTCAGATAAGGTGAGAATTTAATTCACGTCATAAAACATCTCGGGCACTCCAGCTGTTATTTATTCTTATCGTAGTGTCATATAGGGTTGGTGTGTAAGTATTCGAATTCCGGGAAATAGGGTAGCTAAGGTATAATGAATAGTTGATTTAATAACATTTATAGAAAACAGAGTAAAACACACGCCACTGTTTCACGATAGAAGATCCCATCACCTATCTCTCTAGAGTTTGATAATTAGTAGTACTCACTCTTCAAATTGATGTAATTCAAATTATACCTACTTCAAAGTCCCATTTTTTAAAATTATTTTCAATAGAGAATATTATTTAGTGTTGCGCAAATATAAGAAATATCCAAAAGTATCTGTTTAGAAGGAACATTTTGTACCTTTTGTTTCAGTACTTGAAATGATAGTAAAAGTATACATGCGTACGCATGCTAAGGTATATGCGTACTTTGATTTCTCGACAAATCAATTTACAAAATATTTTGCAAATAAACATTATCATTATAATTTTAAATCCTATAACACATTACAATATCCACGCTAGGGCATTTTCGTTACATTCTATTGTTATTATATTCGAAGAATCTGTGAATAAATTTGGTACTAATGTTTGAATTATAATTAGCAAGAATAAAATAATTGTATAACATCAAGTCTTCAATGGTTGCTACGTAAATGTTATAACTGCTTCGTGTCAAGACAAATAATAATGGTAGGACTTAATTCGTACTAAATTCGTTGTATTAACTGACATCTGTTGTTTGTAACATTATCAGTATTACAGGAATTTTGTACTTATTGAACCGATCTGAAACTACCTGTGTACTGCACACAGTAAATTATACTAGATAAACAAATAATTAAAAGACTAAATAATAAAATACTTTTATAAAACAAAAGAAAAACGTGTGTGTGTGTGTGTGTGCAATCGTGCGAGCTCGAGTGATGTACCGAAACTCGACAATTCTCAAGAATGGCATAAACAAAGCCACAAAAGTATCCACTTCGCCCACGTGAGATTATCTTCACGCGCGTGTCACAAAGCCGTTTCAAGGAGAAGGCGCTACTTGCCGTCCCGTCCTGCAAGTCATAAGTCCTTGTGCAGTACAAGCGACGGGATCTGTTACGCGCGTGCTCACAAGCCCCCAACGAATCGACAGCGGCCGACACGCGGCGGCCCGTATGACGTCACACACGCCGCACGTAACTCAGCCGTCGAATCCGCCCCTGCACATTAGCATACCAATTGGAACGCCCGCTTATGAATAACAATTAAGAGCGTAAACTAGAGCGCCCGCTCTTTGAGTGGCTAGCGCTAAGCTTCTTACAGGTGCTCCGTCAAGATTTATGTGGATACGAAACGTGTGCGAGGGTGGGCGGGTTTCAAGTTACCGCCCATCGATACTTCATGGGTATTTTCAATAAAATATCAATTTTGCATTTGCATTTTGCAATTTTACGAACACGAACTCGTTCCGAGTGAGCCTTGCCGCGATTTTTTTATTTTGATCTTGTGACTGCAAGATTTAAACTTGTGTAATTTGTGGTCGTTTTTATGAACGGTATACAGCTCAGAAATGATTTCAAAGTTTGTTTGTTTGATTTTTAATACACAGTATATAGTTTTAATCTTTTTGTAACACTTCTTTTGAAAATCAAAATAATCAAATCGTTTAATTAGAAAGTAACGTGAATTCTTTGCTAACTTTTCATAAAAACGGAAGATGCCGAACAACGTCCATTTAATAAAATGTATGTGCTTGGAGCGACAACCCTTGAACGTCCCTACCAAGGGTTAAGGGGGTAAATGGTAAATGTGGTTAGCACGTAGACATCCCCACGCCGTATTCCGGATTTAATTAAAAGTACCTCAATTAAAATCAGGGTAATGAAAGCATATTCTATTAAGGTTGTTATTCAGTGACATAACCTTGTTATTACCAGAAAAATTATATGCTACGTTTTGTTGTTTCATGTCAGTCTTGCGCAAGGAAATTATTTGTAAATTTATTCCGAACCGTTGAAAATCAAACTGTGAAAAACACGCCATTATTTCGTTTTCATGGCGTCGATTACTTTGTGAACATTATTTAATTACCGATACAAATTATTAATCAGGTTTTATTATTAAAATCAACACATTATAATTTAAACATTGAAACTTTTTCATTCATAATTAATAACACACAACAAAATGCAAATTCGTCTTTAGGTTGGCACAGTATTACCATGAATTTGTAGCTACTTTAAGGTATACTTTATTGAATGTGACAGAAAGTATACCATGTTTGTTCTACTGATTGATATCTACTTGTTATACGGCGGAATTATTAGTATCTTAGGCGTGCATCAGGAGTGGATTCGTGTTCGGAAGTTGGCGTCATTTCTGATTCACGCTTCTTTTTTGTTTTCCGTCTGTCGGCTGACAGCGCCGACCTCTCATGTTTGTTTTCTCGCGAGTGTGAATGCACGCACGTCGTTGGCAGCGAAGAACAAGTCACGAAGACGCGCGAGGGATAAGATGAGGCACAACTGGCAGGTAGCGCTGCCTTGCGGGTCTTTTCATAGAGTTTGAAAGGAAAGGATCGACTTAACGATGCGGATTATTATTTTTATTTTTTTGCTTTTGAGCTTCTTTCTTTAGTCGCGCAATTAAGTTGGCTAGGTA